TGACTTACTTATTTACTTATGTACTGACTTACTTATTTACTTATGTACTGACTTACTTATTTACTTATGTACTGACTTACTTATTTACTTATGTACTGACTTACTTATTTACTTATGTACTGACTTATGTGCTTGCTTATGTATTAACTTATTCACTTACTTACTTATTGACTGACTGACCAACTTGCTTATTTGCTGACTGTCTAACTTGCTGACTTTCTTACTTCATGTTCCTGACTTACTTGCTGACTAACTTACTTGATGACTTAATTACTTACCGACTAGCCATATTTACTCAAGTACCATACACACATTTTTCTCAATGTTGGGAGGAAAAAAGGGGACAATGCACGTCAAATGAGGATATGTATTATTTTTCAAGAAGTTTTAAAAGTTTGGGTGTGCATTGTGTTTGGTTATAGCATGAACAGTTTTGATAAATTTCAGCAAAAATTCTTATTGTTGTATGAATGATTGCAAATGAGTTGGATTCAGGTTCAGTTCATGGTTGAATTCAAATTGGGGTGTTTTTTATTTTAAATACAGTACAGCAGCACTTTATTGAAAATTTTGGGTCACTGAAAGACGTTAAACTAAAATTTTTGGGCAACGCAACTGAAAAATGACTCGCTTAAAAAAATCTTTGAAAGACTGTCAACTTGGCGGTGAAGTAATTAAAAATAACACTGGAATGTGAATACTGTACAGTATTTATTTTTTGGAATTATAAACTGTAATCGAATTGTGGGATAGCTTTTTAATACAATAACATAAAATGTTCAGCCCTCGTAATTAAACGTTATATGTCTCCTATCATTTTAATACTGTACAAATTAAAACAAACTACTTGGTAAAGTAATAAAGTATTGTACAGTACGGTACTCTACCTGAAATTTCCCTCCATGTGTATCTTTGAAATCACAGCACATTTATAAAGAAGCGAAAATATGATTTAAAAAGCGAGAAAAGGACTTGGAAATTGTTTTTTGAAAACTTGCGAAGGAATTCGTTGAAATTAAATTTCCCTAGCTTGAATAAAGCGAAAAAAAAATTACTTGAAGCGCGTCAATGAATTAAATACTGTTCCACGAGTTTATGTGACTGATTTAATTTTAATTTGTTGCTTCTCTTCGCAGTGATTCATCAGGTGGAACCGGAAGTTCAGGCGGCACTGGAACCGGAGGCACGACGGGCAGCGGCGGCGCCAGTGGCGGCGGCTCAACGCGGAAAAAGCGGCGCGGGATAATCGAAAAGCGGCGGCGAGACAGGATCAACAACAGCTTGGCGGAATTGCGACGCCTCGTCCCGGCCGCCTTTGAGAAGCAGGGCTCTGCCAAACTGGAAAAGGCGGAAATTCTGCAAATGACCGTCGACCATCTCAAAATGCTTCATGCCAAGGGTGAGTTTCGGTTTTTTTCCTCAAGTTTATTCTTCAGCTGATTTTTGTCGTTGTTGAGGAAACAAAGTTTTTTTTTTTTTTTTTTTAAGGGAGGGCAGGGTTTCAAAATATTTGCGTCTTTTCAATCATGTCATATTTTACTCTTTTCTTCTCGCATTTGTTTTTTTTTATTCATTTTTTTATAATTTCTCTCTTTATTATCATAGAATTCTTTTCAAAATTTTGAACTGGTTTGAAATCAAACGAAATCTATCAAAACGTTTTTTCTTTCATCTCAAGAGAAGGTCTCAAAATTTTTAAAAGTATGTCAGACTGCTTTTAAAAATTAATTATACTGTACTGTAAACACAAAGTTGGGGCTCATTCAACTCTTAATAATGAATTTATATAAGAATAAATAATCTCAGATTTTATATATTTATGTAGTCTTCTTTAATTAATAAAAAATTAAATTGATATTCCACTGCTTTTGGCAAGTTGTCTAATTTTATTTTCCCAAAATTAAGAGAGGTTAACTAAGATTTTTTTTAAAATCGCGTTTCAGTTGTAAACAATTTTAAATCTTGTCAGATTTTATATACAATAGTTTTTTTTATCAAACATTTATTTATGTTCCAATGCTTTTGATAAGTTGCATGCATTTTTACAGCCAAAAATAAAACGACTTACCTAAAGATGTTCTTGAAAAAATCAGGTCAAAGTTTTAAAAATGTCCATCTTTTCAGATTTTGTAGTATTTTTAAATGAGAAATAATGATTGAAGTTCCTCTGCTTTTGGTAAATTATCTAATTTTAATTACCAAAGTTAAAAGAAGTTAACTGAAAATTTTCAAGAAAAAAATCACTTTACAGTTGAACATTTTTTCTTATTTTGAGATTTTATTTAATCTTTTAAAACCAAAAATCGAAATGATATTCAATGGCTTTTGGTAAGTTGTCTAATTTTATTTGCCAAAAATGAAAACAATTACCTGTAGATTTTCTAAAAAAAACTAATAAAGTTGCAGTTGAAACATTTTAATCTTGTCCCAAAAATTTAAATCTTCGCATTTATTCCCCAGAGGTGAGGAATCCTAGTCAGAAGCAAGTGTATGTAAATTCAATTCTTTAAATTGTTTGTTTTTTTAAACTGCAAAAAATACTGATAAAACCAGCACTTGTTAAGGCTTATGAAAATGGTGAATATTCGAAAAATTTTCTTCGCTGCTTTCATTTATTCATAGCTTCCTCGGATCCCGTCTGGAATTTCTCAGCAGTTCTCCATTCATTTTCCTATTATTATTATTTTTTATTAAGTCCCTTGATTAGCATGAGAACGTCTTTTTTCTTCGCTGCTTTCATTTATTCATAGCTTCCTCGGATCCCGTCTGGAATTTCTCAGCAGTTCTCCATTCATTTTCCTATTATTATTATTTTTTATTAAGTCCCTTGATTAGCATGAGAACGTCTGTTGTTCTACTGGTGTCGGAATAATTTTGTCAAGCAGTAATTACTCTACTATTTTTGTGTTAGCTCCAAAAAAATAAAAATAAAAATCGGAAGTGGGTGCGACACGAGCCGCTGATGACGATTACTTGCGAATATTTATTTTCAATTAAACTTAATCCCTGGCTTTCAAAAAGGGATTCCTTCGCAGCAATTTTGCATAATCTCGAGGAAATTAATCCTGGGGATAATCTCCTGAGGGAACAGAGTAGAAACACAATTTCACAACTATCGCCTTTTCAGAACACTACGTTTTATAAAACCCCTTTAACGCCCTAAAACCAAACAATTTGCAAGTCCTTTCATCTTTATTTATAACGAAGTTCTTTATAAATACGTGTCACTGCTTAATTTACGGACTATGAAAACTTAAGTAATAAAGGGTTGTCCAGAAAATATTTGAACAAACATTTTTTTAAATTATCAAATATTTTTTTTCAATTTAAATTTGAATTAAATTCAAAGCAAATACACATTGTAATCTTAATTATTTCATTTTTCAAGGGTTTTCAATCTAAATTTTAACTGTAATTCAAAGAAAATATATTTTAGAATCTGTATTATATCATGTTTTATCTGCTATTTTAATGCACAGTATCTATATACAGTATATTGAAACCCCACAATTATAAGAAAAATTATTTTGCAAGTAGAGGCAGGAAATTGCTTTTAAAATGCCAGATATTGAAAATCTTAGCTTTTTATATTTTTATTATACTGTGCATCCAAAAATGTCCTCCAGGCAGAGAAAATGTACTTTTGAAAAAAAAAATTAGAGAATTTAACAAATTTTATTGAAATTGCAGTATTAAACCTCATGCATTTGTGGAATTTTCACCTTGAAATTAGCAAAAATGAGTTATTAATACTGTATGTTAGAAGTTTTAGACTTCACAGTTTTTTTTAATTTTTTTATAATTGCTACATGGGCTTCTTTTCATTATCTTGATGTACTTTATGGGATCTTGATGTATTTCATTTGATTACTTTTCAGGACTGGACGCACTGGCATACGACCCACACAAACTGGCCATAGATTACCACAGCGTCGGGTTCCGAGAGTGCATGGCAGAGACATCTAGGTACCTGATTGCGCAAGAAGGCATGGACATCCAGGACCCGCTCCGCCTCCGCTTGATGTCGCACCTGCAGTGCTTCTCAGCGCAACGCGACCTGGCCAACAAATCCGCTTCGTCTTGGGGCTTCAGCCACAATGTCTACGCACCTGCATTTGCAGCCCCGTATTCCCCGGATGCAGCAGCTGCCGCAGCAGCAGCAGCAGCGACACCTACGTCCTCCATAGCCACAACCAGCAGCAACAGCGCTGCGAGTCCGGCGTACAATTCCTCTGCAGCGACACCTATGTCGTGGAATACGCAAACCGGGCAGCCCACGTCGCTCAACTTCCACGCCGTGACGCCGCAGTCGGCATCCACCCCGGGCTCTGTGGAATACAATTCCCAGATGAAGCCCTATAGGCCCTGGGGAGCTGAATTGGCTTACTGAGAAATGATGTGATCTTCCTTGGCTCTGTGACGTGATGCCTGAGCTCTTTATCATTAATTATTTTCCATGCTATTGTGTGTTTGGTGCAAGTGTATCCACCATTTTTTGTGTTCAGAATTTGAGTCTAGTCAAGTGTCTGTTTTTTTTCGATTTCAATTGAATGAAACAAATGTTCAATTTTTTTGTACTTGCTTTGTAAGCAAACCAAGTGTTGCTCAAGAGATAAGTCAGTATTACTTGAAAGTATTTTCTGTACTAGATTCAGCCTTCTATACTTGTGTCAGTCATGTTTTGCATGGGCAATCTAAAGGAATATTTTTACACTTGCGAACGATGTAAGCATTTTTTTAGAGAATCAAGTGATAGCGTTTCTTGAGGGCAAGTTTTTTTGGGGGTTATTATATTGGGATCTTTGAACTGTGTGATCTCAGCAGAAAATAAAACTGATTGAAGCTGAACTTTGTTTCCCAATATTATTATTTCAATCTATGGAATGGCCCAGGGGCAATAAAAGAGTGATTCTTTTTCTAGATGAGGGTAATATTTCACTTGGAGTTACACTATATATTTGGGTTGCCTGACTCCTTTTATGCTTGCTGTGATTGCATTGACTTGCATCATTTGACCCACAACAGTGAAACTGGTTTTGAGCCTTGATATTATTCATGTCAAAGGTTATTGTCCTCATCAGCATGCATTGTCCACATTCAAGTTCATGAAATTTTGTTTCCACTGAAAATGAGTGTCCCACAAACAAGTACCTTGCTTCATTTAAGTACTTGTTAGTGGATGCTGATTTACTGGTTTAGCAATGCAGAATCTGAAAGACAGTGTTGAAATGGATTTTGGTGAACCTGCCAGAAGAATTTTGTCTGTAGAATTTTTCTTCCTACACAAAATACTAACAACATTCAAAAGCATTACTCAATCAATGCATTTGCTGGGTGAACTGGAAGCAGACATTGAATTGTAATTTTTACTTTAGCTTCTTGCTTATAACATTCAACAGAGCTTTATTCTTGTTTGAAATAGATTACTGTACAGTACTTTATTATATAGGCCTTCTAAATATTTGCACCCAATTCACTCGAAAAGGAATTAAAATTTAAAAAGGATAATTCATCATAGGGGAATCCAAAATTTTATAAATAGTTTCATTTCACAGAAATCTGACTCAATATCATTCAAGCTACTGTATATACTGTGAAATTTATAAAAATATGTCAGAATTCTCTATTGATTTTTTATTTGGTTTCTGAATGCTACACCTCTGACTTCAAAAACCTGTGATTTGAAATTGTAAGACAACCTCTGAGCTCTGAATTCAACAACTTATATATTCCATTGGCAATAATGTACATGGCTTGGATGTATGTGACATTATAGAGTATCCCTGAAAAGGATTTAAATTACTTGAAAGATCTGGTTTGAATCAGATAAGTTAGATCACAGGAGTAGGTATTCAATAAGAATAAGTATCACCCTTGTGATCATTCCAATCCAACATTTTTCAAATAAAAATTGAAAAAAATGCCAGAAAGTGGTAAAGTATTTAATATGCAAATATTTTATATTTTCATTCCAACTCACTCCATAGGTATTTAAATTGGACTGGGAACCACTTACTTATTCTAGCATAGATAATCGAGGAACTAGTAGTGACCTCTATTCACTCTTAAACGCGCAAACCAAAATAGTTGACGCATCCTCGTGTAGGTGTCGCAATCATCCAAAACCCTTGAAATTATTCTAATCAATAATGCACCATCAGTAAACGCGTTTTCAATACCGTAGATGCAATCAAAATCCACTCGTGAAGTAATTAGTGGCTGCTTTTCACAGCCTCGCAGTGACCATGTAGAACCACTATATATACAGTACAGGTATTTTAAATGTCCTTTCTTTTGATTAGAAGTGGATATTACAAAATCAGGCACAGGATATGTGGGACATGGTATCAATGAAAACCTGACTTGGACCAAGTCACCTTTTTTTAATATTCAGGAATTTATTCGTTGATTGGGGATATTTTTGTACCTATCATAAAATTAAAAATTTTATTCATGAATTCTACCCTCTTCGAAGGTGCTACAAATAATTTGTCCTTCAGGGAAAAAATAAAATTCATACCTTGTTTCCAGAAAATATAATGAGCCGTATTTTTTTCGAATGTACTTTCTAATACAATGGACTGTACAATATAGTTGTTTACATAATTTCAAATCTGTTTATCGTAGTTTAATTAGTTTTTCGCACGGAAATGAAGCCATTTCGCATCTTCTTTTTTATTCTCTCCGTAGTCTGTAATTAAAATCAACCAACCATCAGGATAACATTCTGTCAATACCAGGTCAAGGAAAAAAATTGGGATCAGTTTTTGTGTTATTTTTAATTTAATGCGCATCCCTGCCTTGACACAATTTCATCTTGACGGAAAAAATAGTTCGCAACTGTGCTTGAAACTTGTCTATCGAAGGTTAGACTAATTTAGTGTCTCCAACAGAGCAAAAGTGAAAATGATCCAATCCAAATAAATTGATGAATTTGTTGCAAAATATTCAAGAGAACAATTAATGGCTACAATACTTTATATTGGGTTAATATCTATATATTCCCATCAGCAGACATGAATTGACTCAAATAATTGAAGGTTGATGCATAAAAATTAATTAAAGATATAAATGTATAAACAAGCCAATTTTCTCAGCAATGTTACTATTAATCATCAACTTCTTATTGGATTTATATTTTTAAAATTCTTCTCACAAGAAATTAAATGGAGTAATAAATTGAAGTTCAATCTGTGATTTTTAAAATTATCTCTTTGAAAATGATTGCCAATAATTGTTGAATGACACTGAGACCCCAATATGCAGACACCCTGACATATACAGACAATTTGACTTTGGGACACATTAAAAATAAAAAACTCAGACCTGACATCAGGACATTTGCTCAAGTTAGGGACACTTTTCTAGAATTTTTCCAAAAAATCAAAGCATTTTATTTTTTAAATTTTGATACTGTATCTTACAAATATATCAAGATTCAAATATATATATATATATATATATATATATATATATATATATCTTATATACAGTGAGGCCCCAAGATGCGGACATAATTGGTGCATCAAGTGTCCCTAAGTTGAAATGTCCCAAAGTTGAGTCTGGTTCACTCATAAACTTACATTATATAATTTTTAATTTGTGTTTTGTGGAAGAAATATTCTTCAGAATTCCCTTAAAAAATTTTACCACTTGAATTTGAATTATTGAATACATTTTCAACTCAATAAGAACATTTGGAGCATCAAATAGTGTATCTTTGTACAGTACTGTACATTGAAATGTTTGCATCTACAAAAATAACATTCAAGTGAAAAAAAGTGTAAGTCCCTCTATGCTGGAGGTAATTTTTTTAAATTAGCAAAATGGATAGTAAATTGGTCAGAGAAATGCCCAAGAACTTATCTTACATCAATTTTAGGGTTGTAAATTTCTGTTTCTGGTAATTTGGCCTGAAATGTATTTGCAATTTTATCACAAAATCATCATTTGACCCACAACAGTGAAACTGGTTTTGAGCCTTGATATTATTCATGTCAAAGGTTATTGTCCTCATCAGCATGCATTGTCCACATTCAAGTTCATGAAATTTTGTTTCCACTGAAAATGATTGTCCTAAAAACCAGTATCTTGCTTCATTTAAGTACTTGTTAGTGGATGCTGATTTACTGGTTTAGCAGCAATGCAGAATCTGAAAGACAGTGTTGAAATTGATTTAGGTGAACCTGCCAGTAGAATTTTGTCAGAATTTTTCTTCCTACACAAAATACTAACAACATTCAAAAGCATTACTCAATCAGTGCATTTTCTGGATGAACTGGAAGCAGACATTGAATTGTAATTTTTAATTTAGCTTCTTGCTTAAAACATTCAACAGAGCTTTATTCTTGTTTGAAAGAGATTACTGTACAGTACTTTATTACATAGGCCTTCTAAATATTTGCACCCAATGCACTCGAAAAGGAATTTAAAATTAAAAAGGATAATTCATCATAGGGGAATTCAAAATTTTATAAATAGTTTTATTTCACAGAAATCTGACTCAATATCATTCAAGCTACTGTATACTGTGAAATTTATAAAAAATATGTCAGAATTCTCTATTGATTTTTTATTTGGTTTCTGAATGCTACACCTCTGACTTCAAAAACCTGTGATTTGAAATTGTAAGACAACCTCTGAGCTCTGAATTCCACAACTTATATATTCCATTGGCAATAATGTACATGGCTTTGATGTATGTGACATTATAAAGTATCCCTGAAAAGGATTTAAATTACGTGAAAGATCTGGTTTGAATCAGATAAGTCAGATCACATGAGTATTAGGAATTCAATATAAGAATAAGTATCACCCTCGTGATCAATCCAATCCAAAAATTTTAAAATAAAAATTTTAAAAATATCAGAAAGTGGTAAAATATTTAATGCGTAAATATTTTACATTTTAATTCCACCCACTCCAGGCATTTAAATTGGACTGGGAACCACTTACTTATTCTAGCATAGATAATCGAGGAACTAGTAGTGACCTCTATTCACTCTTAAACGCGCAAACCAAAATAGTTGACGCATCCTCGTGTAGGTGTCGCGATCATCCAAAACCCTTGAAATTATTCTAATCAATAATGTACCATCAGTAAACGCGTTTTCAATACCGTAGATGCAATCAAAAACCACTTGGGAAGTAATTAGTGGCTGCTTTTCACAGCCTCACAGTGACCATGTAGAACCACTATATATACAGTACAGGTATTTTAAATGTCCTTTCTTTTGATTAGAAGTGGATATTACAAAATCAGGCACAGGATATGTGGGACATGGTATCAATGAAAACCTGACTTGGACCAAGTCACCTTTTTTTAATATTCAGGAATTTATTCGTTGATTGGGGATATTTTTGTATGTATCATAAAATTAAAATTCTATTCATGAATTATATACCGTCTTCGAAGGTGCTACAAATAATTTGTCCTTCAGGGAAAAAATAAAATTCATACCTTGTTTCCAGAAAATAATGAGCCGTATTTTTTTCGAATGTACTTTCTAATACAATGGACTGTACAATATAGTTGTTTACATAATTTCAAATCTGTTTATCGTACTGTAGTTTAATTAGTTTTTCGCACGGAAATGAAGCCATTTCGCATCTTCTTTTTTATTCTCTCCATAGTCTGTAATTAAAATCAACCAACCATCAGGATAACATTCTGTCAATACCAGGTCAAGGAAAAAACTGGGATCAGTTTTTGTGTTATTTTTAATTTAATGCGCATCCCTGCCTTGACACAATTTCATCTTGACAGAAAAAATAGTTCGCAACTGTGCTTGAAACTTGTCTATCGAAGGTTAGACTAATTTAGTGTCTCCAACAGAGCAAAAGTGAAAATGATCCAATCCAAATAAATTGATGAATTTGTTGCAAAATATTCAACAGAACAATTATACTGGCTATACAATACTGTACTTTATACAGTATTGGGTTAATATCTATATTCTCACCAGCAGACATTAATTGACTCAAATAATTGAAGTTTGATGCATACAAATTAATTTCACATGCTTCTTCAAAGATATAAATGTATAAACAAGCCAATTTTCTCAACAATGTTACTATTAATCATCAACTTCTCATTGGATTTATGTTCATAAAATTCTTCTCCCAAGAAATTGAATGGAATAATAAATTGAAGTTCAATGTGTGATTTTTAAAATTATCTCTTTAAAGATGATTGGCAATAATTGTTGAATGACAGTGAGAACCCAATATGCAGACACCCTGACATACAGACAATTTGACTTAGAGACACATTAAAAACAAAAAAAAGAAATCAGGCCTGACATCAGGACATTGGCTCAAGTTAGGGACACTTTTTTTTAGAATTTTTCCAAAAAATCAAAGCATTTTATTTTTCAAATTTTGATATCTTACAAAGATATCAAGATATAAATATACTGTATATATATATCTTATATTCAGTGAGAAACCTTAACTATATATATTTAACACGTAGCGACGAAGAAAATAGTTGAAATAAAGTTGAGTCTTGTTTACTTGTAGACTTACATTATATAATTTTTAATTTGTGTTTTATGGAAGAAATATTCTTCAGAATTCCCTTAAAAATTGTTTGCCACTTGAATTTGAATTGGTGAATACATTTTCAACTCAATAAGAACATTTGGAGCATCAAATAGTGTATCTTTGTACTGTATATTGAAATGTTTGCATCTACAAAAATAACATTCAAGTGAAAAAAGTGGAAGTCCCACTATGCTTGAGGTAATTTTTAAATTAGCAAAATGGATGGTGAAATGGTCAGAGAAATGCCCAAGAACTTATCTTACATCAATTTTAGGGTTTTAAATTTCTGTTTCTTGTAATTTGGCCTGAAATGTATTTGCAATTTTATTGCAGAATGTCCCTATGTTGAGTCAGTGTCCTCATGTTGGGCATTTTTCATTAATTTTTTTCTGGGAAAATAAGTGTCCCTATGTCGAATTGTCCACAGGTCAAGGTGTTTGCATGTGGGGGTCTCACTGTATATACAGTAATTTGATCCACAAAATTTGAAGAAAATTTCATAATAAATTCAGTCTAATTCATCATATCAAAAGCAAGCTGATTTTGTGCTTCTTTTCTCAGAGTTTTTTCTATCATCTGTGCATATTCTAGCAATAAGACTTAATCTTCTTTTTTGCTTTTTATTGATGCCCTTTTGATAACCAAAGATCAAATTCTATGTGGTTTTGTTCAGCACTGTCATTTTCTACAACTTGAAGTTGAGGGAAAAGTTATTCTTAATTTTTGGCAAGAAGGAGAACCAATTGAATACATTAACATTGATGTCTAACGGAAAATGAGACCTGACTTAAGAGACATTTTTACATCAGGACACACTTGATGCACCAATTATGTCCAAATTTCAGGGTTTCACTGCATGCAGAAAAAAAATATTGCAAATTAGTCAATGCTGGAAGGTTCCTGGTACAGTATTATTTATTGCAACTATTCAAGTGGATCAATA